TGCTGATGCATGGTGATGGTGAAACTGTTCGCAGGATGTCGACTGATATAATCAGCGGGATTGCCTGCACCCGGCTTGTATTTTACCGTAAAGCTGTATGGTTGCAGACGAAGAGCCCATCTCCCAATGCGAGCTGGTGGTTTGGACTTTGGATTATTGAAGATGGTCTCCAACGGTTTGTGGTCAGTGACTATCGTGGTGAAGGGCGCACCAAGCAGATACACATTGAAGTGTTCACAGCCCCATACAAGAGCAAGAGCTTCCTTCTCTGTCTGACTGTATCGTTGCTCAACATCTGTGAGAGAACGGCTGGCGTAGGCAATTAGTACTCTGGAATCTGGTTGACCAGGTTTGTATTGGGCTAAAACAGCACCTAAACCAACAGGACTAGCATCCACCGTTAACTCAGTGTTCATCGACGGATCAAAGTATGCAGCAGTCGCATTCTCTACTAGTGCATCTTTCACAGCATCAAATGCATTTTGTTCGATATCGCTCCAGTACCATGATGCATTTTTCTTCAGGAGCTCACGTAGAGGCTTCGTAATGGTAGCAAAATCTGGAATGAAGCGAGAACAGTAGTTTGCCATTCCCAGAAAACTATGTACTTCAGTGGACGTTGAAGGAGGTGCAGCATTTTTTATATCTGCAACTTTCTTAGGATCTGGAGACAGACCTTTGTCACTAAGTACATGTCCAAAGAATTCAATTTTACGTTGATTGAACTCACACTTTGCTCGGCTTAACGTCAGATTCTTTTCTCGTAAGCGTTGCAATGTTGCACGAAGAGCTTTGTCGTGTTCAGCTTGGGTACGGCCATAAACAATGATGTCATCAGACATGTTGTCAGCATTAGGTATATCTTGCAATACCTGGCTGATGATGTGCTGGAATACCTCGGCAGCACTGTTGATACCAAAACTCAGGCGCTTGTACCTATACAGACCTCGATGTGTCGTAAACGTTGTGATGAAGCGACTCTCATCATCAAGTTCAAACTGATGATAGCCCTTGTTTAAATCTAACTTGCTGAATACAGTTGCACCATTCAAGCGGTAGATCATATCATCTACAGTGGGTGTAGGATGGCGTTCACGCATTATTGCCTTGTTGGGAACACGCATGTCTACACAAATGCGTATCTCATCTGGATTCTTCGGCTTTGGTGGAGTGACAATTGGGCTTACCCATGGTGTTGGGCCTGTTACTGGTTCAATGATATCTAGTTCCATCAGCCTATCCAGTTCGGCATCGACTTTCTTGCGAGTATGGAATGGTTGTCGGCGATGTGGTTGGGCAACTGGAATTACATCTGGGTTGATATGCAGATGTACTTTGCTATCAGTATAACAACCTATGGATTTAAATCGATCAGAAAATTCCGCAGCAATAGCATCAACATTGTTTGCAGATTCCACTGCTACAGCATTAGAAAGCTGAAGTAGCCCCAATTTGGTTGAAGTCTTGTAACTGAGTAAAGACTCCTTTGCATTCCTAACAACATGGAATGTAGTAGTGAGCATTGCACTCTTTGACTTAATTTCTGCAGTGAAAGTTCCAGTCACTGGCAAGGCTACCTTTGAAGCATAGGCAGTGGCTTTGCCATTATAGTTTTCAAGCTTTGGGAACTGTTTTTTAAATTTCTCATAGTGGCACTCAGCAATGGTGTCAATGTTTGATCCAGTGTCAATAAGAACTTTGAGACAAATACCAGCAATGTATACTATAGTCTCTGGGTTGTTTGGAAGATCATTCCATTCTGTGATTGCTTGTACTCCATAAGTATAATCACATTCACTGTCATCTGAGACTGGTTGTAATGAAATGTTGTCTTGTACATTATTAACATTCTGGATATGAGGTGCAATATTGTGTTTACCACCTCGACACCTATGACCTGATCCTCGTACAGTGCTTTTATTCATTGACTGTGGTTTCTTTAGTGCAGAACGACACATAGCACCAAAATGACCCAGTTTTCCACACTCATAGCACTTCTTACCTTGAGCAGGACAAACACTACCTTGGTGTGGGTAGTCTCCTCCACAATTGTAACATTTATTGTTGACACCCTCTGATGTGAGTCGTTGTGACTGCTTGAGTCTTGTTCCATGACTCCAGTTGTGATGTGGCTCTCGGCTCAATTTACTGTTAGGCTTGCCATGATTTCTTTGATCACGGTGTCCTCCCTGAACCTTCCGTACCTCATCACTGTTAGTAACAGTGGCAGAACCGTTGTTGGCACTGCACTCCATGACACGAGCATCACGTGCAGCATCTTCCATTCGACGAGCCATATCCAGTATCTTGGTAAGAGAACTTTTATCATCAACAAGTTCTAGAGCTCTTCGACGGAGACGTGTAGATGTGCATGTTTCAATTATTTGCTGTTTGATTTCTTTGTCAACATCAGCAAACTCACAATGGGCTGCTAAACCCTGCAGACGTGTGTGGTATTGATCCACAGTTTCATTAAAGAGTTGTCTGGCTCTCCTGAAATGCATAATTTCCATTGCAGTATTTTGTCTTGGTTTGAAATGTTCAGTTAATTTGGCATTGGCAATATCATAATCTTTGGCACCACCAGTGTCTTTCAGTGTATCAAAGATGTCACAAACTCGATCACCTACATAATGAAGTAGAAAGGCACGCTTTATTTCAGCACTTTTGATGTCAGAAACTATCAACATATTTTCAAACCTTTTAAGCCATTTGATCCACCTCTGTGACAGGTTTGTCTGGTCACAGTCAGGATCAAATGCAGGAAACTGAGGTATATTTGCCATTTTTTTTTACTGTATAAATGTAAACTTATCACTTAAATGTTCCTCAGAATATTAAACACTTACTGCACTGTATATGTTAGTTAAGAATTCACTGTAATTACTTTAATTTTGCAAAGCACACAAGCATTTTAATGTAAAAGTTCACAACAGTGCACAACACAGCAGCAACTGACTTCTTACCTAGCCCTTGTGTACATGTGTTGTTCCTGCTCACAGCAGCACAGCAGTTGTCAGCAGTTGGCACAGCAGTAGTTAGCAGTTGGCAGCAGTTGTCAGCAGCTGGTACAGCAGTTGTCAGCAGTTGGCACAGCAATCAGTTTACAGCGTGAAGAATTGTAGCACAGAGCGCGTTTTGTATACAAAACATCAGGTTTTGTATACAGCATCAAAGCGTCGTTTCGTACACCGCGTCGGCAGATTCCCAGATTCCTTAGTACACAGTTTCAGTCAGCACATGGCATTGGTTAGCACATGGCATTGGTTAGCACATAGCTTGGGTTAGCACATAGCTTGGGTTAGTACACAGCACTGGATAGCACACAGCATTGGTTAGCACGCAGCATCGGGTATGGTGCTCACAGACAGCACGACTTCCCTCCTCCTCCGGGGGCGAGACAGCATGTTTCTCCTTCGTGTTTTAAGTTGAACAAATACCTGCGTTCACAGTTCATCTTTGTCACCAGTGTGGTGTTTGTGTGTAGCTGAGGAAGTCTTGGTTGTAGGGATGATATAAAGTCATTGCTTGGTTACTGACTTTAATACTTATAAACGATTACATGACTAGTAGTTACGAAGCTTGGCGGGCGTCCTGTACGCTCTTGTTTACCTTCTGCTCGCGTCTGACTCGCAGCACATAGAAAACGGATGGTACTGTTTCCTGTGAACATGACAAGTGGTGGGTCTCGCACTGGGAGGGTCCTCCGCCGTCAGAGAGCCGGGCTCCCTCAGTTGCCTGTCAGCGCTCAGAGGAGATGGATGTCGCTCCGTGTTCCTCCCTCTCCACTCTCTTATTTCAGGCCTTCTGCCTTATTAAAACATGTCTAACTTATCAATAAACATTGCTACTGTCGCTGGGCACACGACTAACTACAAGGAATCACTATGAACTGGCGTATATCGTGCTTACCACAGATTATCTGGTCGAGGGCGCTCCTCCCTCTGACGAAGCCTGGTCAGGGCGATTCCACAGCCCACGAAAATGTCTCTGGGCGGCTTAATACTCTCCTCGTCGACCAGGACTTGAGACCACAACGTTCCCAGCTCGATTCTACAGCTGGCACGTCTGCATACTTCTCTTCTCTTGGAGATATATGACTAGGGGTTCCTTTCTGACAGGAGCTCAACGGAGCGCGGCTTTCCCCCTGCGATGTCTGGCCTCAAGTGAGGTCAAAGCCCTCCAGAAGTGAGCCTCACGCCTCCAGCAAAATGTCCACATCTCCTAGCCAGTCATTTATCTGTTTTCTTCTTCACTGCTCATAATCTTAAATTGTTATCTAAATCCAACTAACTATTTTACATATGTGTTATCACCTCCATATTTCCTATACTTTCTAGTTAGGTCAGGCTTGCTGAATAACTCTCAAGGGGGGAGACTCCTTTCTCCTGTAGGCTGAGATCATAACACCTACCTAACCTAACCTATCTTTATAGGTTAGGTTAGGTTAGGTAGCCAAAAAAGTTAGGTTAGGTTAGGTAGGTTAGGTAGTCGAAAAACAATTAATTCATGAAAACTTGGCTTATTAGGCAAATCGGGCCTTGCATATATATATATAAATGTATATGTATATATATACATATACATTTATAACCATCTACCAATTTTTAATCGTTCATTTCATCCATCCGTTAATCTATCCATCTATCCATCCATTTATCCTTTTACCCCATTTCCTCTCATCGGCGATCACCCAAACATTAGACAACTATATTTTTTATCAGCGAGAGAGAGTGAGAGAAAAAAAAAGATTGAGAGGAAAACACACAGCGAGACAGAGCCACACATAGACAGACACACACACACAGACACAGACATTCAGATACAAACACACAGAAACAGACACAGTAACAGAGAAATACACATAAACAAATAGATAAAGAAACCAAGGAGGGGAGACAGACACAGAAAGACAGTAGATGGATGGATAGATGGAAGGCGGTAATACAGGTGAGAGATAGTGTGAGGAGGGGTACATCAGAGACAAATGGTACGCTCACCTTCACGGATGGAGGAGTCGTCATCAGGGAGGGGCTCAGCCATCTTGACCACGTACACAACCTGGGAACGTACTTGTGTCTCCACTTTGCTCTTGGTACCGTCCTCGATCTTGACGTCCGGAGTCCACACCTCCTCCAGATCTTTAATCTTGTTGGCTCTGAAGTCCTTGTTAAGGTTGTTGAACTTGAGCCTCATGTCCCGCCACTTCAGCTCGAGGAAGACGTCAATGCTGATAGTGAAGGAGACTAAATTGAACTCTCTGACGGAAGTAATGTTGAGACTGAAGAGGATCGGAAGGGGCTTGGCCATTGTTGTCGGCGGAAGAAGCCCAGAGGAGTAGCCTGGAGGGACGAAGACGGTTTTGCAATTCATCTCATCACTTTGGTCCTCACAGTCAACAGTCATGTCACAGCGGCGGTTCTTGCTGATGCACAGACCATCGTCACAGGTGTACTCGTCGCTACGGCACGACGTCAACAGCAGCTCTTGCTGTTGAGTGAATGCAAGTCATTATCATTGAGAGATTACGTTATATAAGCTATCATTATGCCAAGACGTTGAAAGTCAGTGTGGTTAATACTAATGAACAAGGTGACTGCAATGTTATTATGAATTGCGCAATCATATATAAATTTCACTAAAACATTTCATGTTCCTACATGATTAACAATATTTAATGCACTCACACTTAACTTTATATCATGAAATAAACACGTCCTCAAATAGAAGTATATCGGCATCCTCTGAAGGTCTTCACTTTTTAACTACGCGCTGAGCCCCGACTGAACAACTGTTCTCAACCGGGTAAATTATTAACTGGCGGATGTGTTTCTGTGTGTATTTCCTTATGTCAGCCCGGTAGATAGGTCCCAAGTCTGTGGCCAGCCAGTGGATAGAACCCAACATTGTGGCCAGCCAGTGGCTAGAACCCAACTTTGTGGCCAGCCAGTGGCTAGAACCCAACTTTGTGGCCAGCCAGTGGCTAGAACCCAACATTGTGGCCAGCCAGTGGATAGAACCCAACTTTGTGGCCAGCCAGTGGATAGAACCCAACTTTGTGGCCAGCCAGTGGATAGAACCCAACATTGTGGCCAGCCAGTGGATAGAACCCAACTTTGTGGCCAGCCAGTGCATAGAACCCAACTTTGTGGCCAGCCAGTGGATAGAACCCAACTTTGTGGCCAGCCAGTGCATAGAACCCAACTTTGTGGCCAGCCAGTGGCTAGAACCCAACTTTGTGGCTAGCCAGTGGATAGAACCCAACTTTGTGGCCAGACAATGGCTAGATCCCAACTTTGTGGCCAGTCAGTGGATAGTACCCAATTCTGTGGCCAGCCAGTAGATAGGTCCCAACTCTGTGGCCAGCCAGTGGCTAGTACCCAATTATGTGGCCAGCCAGTGGCTAGAACCCAATTCTGTGGCCACCCAGTGGCTAGTACCCAATTCTGTGGCCAGCCAGTAGATAGGTCCCAACTCTGTGGCCAGCCAGTTGCTAGTACCCAAGTATGTGGCCAGCCAGTGGCTAGAATTCAATTCTGTGGCCAGCCAGTGGCTAGAATTCAATTCTGTGGCCAGCCAGTAGATAGAACCCAACTTTGTGGCCAGCCAGTGGCTAGAACCTAACTTTGTGGCCAGCCAGTGGCTAGAACCTAACTTTGTGGCCAGCCAGTGGCTAGAACCTAACTTTGTGGCCAGCCAGTGGCTAGAACCTAACTTTGTGGCTAGCCAGTGGCTAGAACCCAACTTTGTGGCCAGACAATGGCTAGAACCCAACTTTGTGGCCAGTCAGTGGATAGTACCCAATTCTGTGGCCAGCCAGTAGATAGGTCCCAACTCTGTGGCCAGCCAGTGGCTAGTACCCAATTATGTGGCCTGCCAGTGGCTAGAACCCAATTCTGTGGCCACCCAGTGGCTAGTACCCAATTCTGTGGCCAGCCAGTGGCTAGAACCCAACTTTGTGGCCAGTCAGTGGATAGTACCCAATTCTGTGGCCAGCCAGTAGATAGGTCCCAACTCTGTGGCCAGCCAGTGGCTAGTACCCAATTATGTGGCCAGCCAGTGGCTAGAACCCAATTCTGTGGCCACCCAGTGGCTAGTACCCAATTCTGTGGCCAGCCAGTAGATAGGTCCCAACTCTGTGGCCAGCCAGTTGCTAGTACCCAAGTATGTGGCCAGCCAGTGGCTAGAATTCAATTCTGTGGCCAGCCAGTGGCTAGTACCCAATTCTGTGGCCAGCCAGTAGATAGAACCCAACTTTGTGGCCAGCCAGTGGCTAGAACCCAACTTTGTGGCCAGCCAGTGGCTAGAACCTAACTTTGTGGCCAGCCAGTGGCTAGAACCCAACTTTGTGGCCAGCCAGTGGCTAGAACCCAATTCTGTGACCAGCCAGTGGATAGAACCCAATTCTGTGGCCAGCCAGTAGATAGGTCCCAACTCTGTGGCCAGCCAGTTGCTAGTACCCTGCAAGTATGTGGCCAGCCAGTGGCTAGAATTCAATTCTGTGGCCAGCCAGTAGATAGGTCCCAACTCTGTGACCAGCCAGTGGATAGAACCCAACTCTGTGGCCAGTCAGTAGATAGGTCCTAACTCTGTGACCAGCCAATGGATAGAACCCAACTCTGTGGCCAGCCAGTAGATAGGTCCCAACTCTGTGACCAGCCAGTGGATAGAACTCAACTCTGTGGCCAGCCAGTGGATAGAACCCAACTCTGTGGCCAGCCAGTGGATAGAACCCAACTCTGTGGCCAGCCAGTAGATAGGTCCCAACTTTGTGGCCAGCCAGTGGATAGAACCCAACTCTGGTCAGCCAGTAGATAGGTCCCAACTCTGTAGCCAGTCAGTGGCTAGAACCCAACTTTGTGGCCAGCCAGTGGCTAGAACCCAACTTTGTGGCCAGCCAGTAGCTAGAACCCAACTTTGTGGCCAGACAATGGCTAGATCCCAACTTTGTGGCCAGTCAGTGGATAGTACCCAATTCTGTGGCCAGCCAGTAGATAGGTCCCAACTCTGTGGCCAGCCAGTGGCTAGTACCCAATTATGTGGCCAGCCAGTGGCTAGAACCCAATTCTGTGGCCACCCAGTGGCTAGTACCCAATTCTGTGGCCAGCCAGTAGATAGGTCCCAACTCTGTGGCCAGCCAGTTGCTAGTACCCAAGTATGTGGCCAGCCAGTGGCTAGAATTCAATTCTGTGGCCAGCCAGTGGCTAGAATTCAATTCTGTGGCCAGCCAGTAGATAGAACCCAACTTTGTGGCCAGCCAGTGGCTAGAACCTAACTTTGTGGCCAGCCAGTGGCTAGAACCTAACTTTGTGGCTAGCCAGTGGCTAGAACCCAACTTTGTGGCCAGACAATGGCTAGAACCCAACTTTGTGGCCAGTCAGTGGATAGTACCCAATTCTGTGGCCAGCCAGTAGATAGGTCCCAACTCTGTGGCCAGCCAGTGGCTAGTACCCAATTATGTGGCCTGCCAGTGGCTAGAACCCAATTCTGTGGCCACCCAGTGGCTAGTACCCAATTCTGTGGCCAGCCAGTGGCTAGAACCCAACTTTGTGGCCAGTCAGTGGATAGTACCCAATTCTGTGGCCAGCCAGTAGATAGGTCCCAACTCTGTGGCCAGCCAGTGGCTAGTACCCAATTATGTGGCCAGCCAGTGGCTAGAACCCAATTATGTGGCCACCCAGTGGCTAGTACCCAATTATGTGGCCAGCCAGTAGATAGAACCCAAATCTGTGGCCAGCCAGTGGCTAGAACCCAAATATGTGGCCAGCCAGTGGCTAGAATTCAATTCTGTGGCCAGCCAGTGGCTAGAATTCAATTCTGTGGCCAGCCAGTAGATAGAACCCAACTTTGTGGCCAGCCAGTGGCTAGAACCCAACTTTGTGGCCAGTCAGTGGCTAGAACCCAACTTTGTGGCCAGCCAGTGGCTAGAACCCAACTTTGTGGCCAGCCAGTAGCTAGAACCCAATTCTGTGACCAGCCAGTGGATAGAACCCAATTCTGTGGCCAGCCAGTGGCTAGTACCCAATTATGTGGCCAGCCAGTGGCTAGTACCCAATTCTGTGACCAGCCAGTGGATAGAACCCAATTCTGTGGCCAGCCAGTGGCTAGAACCCAATTCTGTGGTCAGCCATTAGCTTCAGCCCAACTCTATGAACAGTGCCATGATTATAGATAGCCAGATCTAGGCTACCTCCAGTATGAGAGTTGTTCCCGTTCTTTGTCCACTATTTTGTGTTTATTCATTTGTGCCAGTTATCAGGCCCCTCATTTATCAGTGAGCCACTGTGACTAAATTAAGATCCTCCCGGACATAGGGCCACTCCTCAAACCTATCACAACTACAAGTGGGTGATGAACGCCCGGGCAGGAGCCCACCAAAATTATTCAGGGGTGGGGAAAAATAACAGAGGAGACACTCTCGGGCTGCTACTTCTTTTGATACTACATTGAATCAGATCATTTACTGGAGAATCACCCAGAATCGTACCAAATTGCAGAGGAGGGGCAGAGCGTCACTATGATGGGAACTCGGGCTCAGAAATTACCTGTTTCACTAGTACACACCTAAAACTGACCCAACAGTGACTTATACTTCTCTCCTCAACTCCGGTGTGCCTTTTAGGTTCTCTTAATTTTTGTTATCATTCTCCGGTCTGCAGGTCAAAAGTTTTGCCTCTCTACTAGAGCCCTAATAGGAGGAAGTGTAAACAAAGTTGACTAACAAACAATTATTACAAAACACAAGAAAGAAAAATATAATAATTAGATGGTACTTTGGACGGGGTCCCCAACTTGCCGCGCTTGTCATAGTCACAAACCTCCAGAGTTTAGTAAAGCATCAGCTCAAGAAATTATGGCATACATTAATATATATCAGTCAAGTCAATACAAAAGTAGTCATCAAATGTTATGCCATACCTTGGTCAATATCTATCAAGAACACACATAAATAATATCTAAATCACTTTACCACCAATAACCTGGGAGTTTAACTTCAGGTTACCACCAAATATCGGTGACTATAAATGTCACTATTGTTCCATATAATCTCAATTTACCAAAATGTTCATAACTAAACTAATGCTCTCTCTTCTTTATCGATTCGTTGGGCAGAAATCCCTTTACCATCAGGGTTAGCTAGGCTTCAACATATAAATCAATAAATACTCTTCCCTTCCCTTCATTGCATCAAGTACACCAACATATTTCTCTTACAAACAAACACAGACGACTAAACAATCCTATATATAGTGATTTGTAGATTAATCTCCCTTGCAGTCACACAGGCCTCTTCCTTGCCGACTCATCTTCTAGTAAACCATCAGCAAAATCAGTCATCGGTTTGTCCTCGAGTAGAGGTAAACCTCTAACACGGAGCTGCGCTACCATGCACGAAACTGCATCCGCCATGCATGACCCCTGCAAGTTTACTATAAAAAATAATCTCTTACCATAAACAAGTACAAAGTGATTAAAATAAAAAA